AAATTTTGAAAAACTATGAATAAAATTCAATACTTATTTTGTGAAAGGTTGTGAACATTGACTTTGGCAGTCAAAGGTCAAGTAAACTGTACAACTCTCACAATATTCTTATCCATCAGACTCAAAATTACAATATCAAAAAGTGCACAAATTTTAGTTTATGAAATGCATATATCTATCTTAGATGGTAATGCTGGTAATCAACATTTCCATAATGTAGGTGCTTTCCACGACATTTCTTGCAAAACCTGTGACACGAATATGTACTACAGATAGTGGAATTCATCTCAACCTACCACCATCACTGACGTTAACCGACTTGATCCTTCATAAATGTAAAGATAATCATAGCCATCTTCTAGCCAGAAATCATGGAATGTAATATGTATAAGACTGCCAGTGTTCACATGGATGTTCCAACTGCAGTAACTATTATGTGCATAGTTCTTGGGATATAGAGGAGTCTGGATGTCATCGGATTCAGTAAAATCACCACCGCATGGCTCAACTGTGCAAGAAAAAACAAAACAGTTCATTAAAGTTGTATGTAAAAGTTGTTGGAGCTGAGCATACAAGGTAAGTATACTGTCTAGTATTTTGTCACACACTGCTTGTTAATCAATAAGCAGGAGAGAAATGGCTAAACAAGTCAGGTTCCGGTAGAATGTTCTAGTTACCCTACAGCAATAGGTGATTTTCCATTCTCTGCACCATTTGCAAATAAATATGTCATACAATATGCTTTCTCAGTTGAGGTTAGTAGTTAAATAATCATTAAAAAAAATTCTCCTAATATCTTTCGTTTATCATACATTGACATCACTACATAGCGAAAATCCGAAAACAAATTGCAATTGTTTGCATGCATGAGGTGTGTAATGAAGTAATTTCAAACAAGCATACTATCTGTTGACCTACAGTAATCAGACAGAATATATCATATCACCAGATATCTACAACTGGTCTACTGGGAAGACAGTGCAACTGAATCAAACCTATCATCTCACTTGGCCGTAATGACATGCTAACTATTAAGCATATCTTACCTGTAAAGTAAGTGACATTAAATCCTTTGTAATTCCCGGATATATCACTAGTCCACACAGACCATAGACTACTACTGTCACTGAAATATGATTCATCCAATTGACTACCAGAAAAACGATACAGCAATGAAGATGATACAGTCTCATCAGTGCCACTGCCAATCTCATACCAATCAAAGTTACGTTCTGTTTCAAAGTCATTCACGTGGATATACAGATGCAGATCTTCAGTTTCTACATCCCAGTGACAGTACTCGTTATTGCCGTAGTTATTCGGGTAGTTATTAGTCTGGATACTGACAGAAGAACTAGGAACAGAAGGTAGGAAGTGGGATCCACCACAACTGGATCTGTTGACAGACAAAAGTAGAAGAAATTTTTGTCAGTCAAAAACATTCATTGGTAATATATTATGTTTCATTAGCACTATGCTATATTTATATGATCAAAAAAATATTGGATAGAATTCAAATCGCAAATAATACTTCAAATCAAGTTAAAACATCATTGGTTCCAGGAAAGTTTTTCACTTTCTGTCAACTGTTACTAGGACCTTCAATAACAAAGTTAACTTTTTTTTGATAATATGCAATATTTTGCTGATGATTTGCTTTTTAAAGCAAATATTTTGCACCTGCAGCAAATACAGCAAAACTGACCTGTCTCAATAATCTCATGTGCAATAACATGAAAACCTTGTCTGGTGATAGAGTAATCCGATGTAAAAGTGATCCAGACTCTATCACTGCTAGAAGAAACTGCATCCGGCGGGTTACTAGAATAGTCACCAGATACACGTTGTATGGACGTTGTCAGATCCCTGTGGTTTGGTCCATTTCCAACTTCAAACCAATCATGGCAGTATTCAGTATCGAAAAATATGAATGTGACGTTAATCCTGTAGCCAGATTCAGTGTTGAGGTACCATACACAGTCCATGTCATTATCATACTCTTCGGGGTAGTTTGGGGAAGTTATGTTTACATATTCATTTGCTTCTATTGTTACGTTGTATCCACATTCAGCTGCTGGCAGTGGTTCCTCTGTTGGCAATGGTTTTGGCTCTGGAGCTGGCTCTTCTACAGAAACATGGTCAAGAATGTTATTGTTTTATTCACTTCATGAAACATTCCTACCTTACCTAGGAAGGGTAGTCAACAAATTAAATATTGAAAAGATTTGAGTAGAAGTAATGGGTATACATTTGAGATTAAAGCCATTGTAAACAAAATTTCAGCAAAAAGTAACAGTATATATTAACCATGCAGATAAATTTCTGGCCTTGGCTGACAAGGGCAATTTTTCATGTAGTCCAGATATAAGATAATCACTGATGGAATATACAAGTCCAAAAATGCTCATGTATCATCTGTAATCTCTAAGAAAGCAATATCACTATACATATAAGCAACATGTTCACGTAACAGTTTGAGCCAAATTCAAATTTTGCACTACTGAGAATGTAATTACTGCACATATATGCAATGCATTTTGGGAGAGAACTTCTCATGAAAAAATATTATCATACTGGGAAACACATTTTTTTCGAATTGTTTTAACAATTTTGGTGACCCCAATTGATTTGTTTCATTTTTGGGTTTCCTGATGGGATGAACCCAAAATAATGAAAGATACAAATTACATATTCCTTAATTTGGCTTGAAGCTCTCAAAAACACACAATGCTATCACAAAATGTATTA